TGTGTGAATTGTAGCCTCAGTTTCCTGTTCTTAGCTGAAAGGAGTGGCACCCGGTGTGGTCTTTCTGCTGCTGTAGCCCATCTTCCTCAAGGTTTGATGTGTTGTGTGTTCAGAGATGCTCTTCTGCAGACCTCGGTTGGAAAAGCCCTTCTTGCCCTGACAAAGAAAACTAAGTACGCTGGTTGGWTTCCTAACTGGGCACAACWTGCTCAATCGCCATAAAATGGTGATGGCACTCCATGACAATGGTTTGTGCGATGCCTGTGGCACTGAACTACAGACCTCTTTRCATTACCTGGRCCAATGCTTGGCCCTGAGTAGTCAAAAGGAAAGAATTCTTGGAGAACCTTTTATGGCTCCTGAGAAGCTTAGAACACTGAGTGTTTCTAACCTGGTGTCCTTCTTCCGAGGGACGCGAAGGTTTGATTAAAAGCTCAGTGTCTCTTTTGGGGAGAGTAATGGGCCCACGTATGAGGCCTCYGCTCACATGGGTTTTACCCATCCTCATACTGTATACCATAACCACCAGAACCATACCTCAGTTGTAACCAGTGGTTAATTGAGTTACTCTTGTCATTCTATCAGCTCCAACCAGTCTGCCTATTCTCCTCTGACTTCTGGCATCAACAAGGCATTTCCGCCCACAGAACTGCCGCTCACTGGATATTTTCTGTTTTTTGGACCTTTCTCCGTAAACCCTAGAGATGGTTGTGSGTGAAAATCCCAGTAGATCAGCAGTTTGTGAAATACTCAGACCAGCCCTTCTGGCACCAACAACCATGCCTCGTTCAAAGTCACTTAAATCACCTTTCTTCCCCATACTGATGCTCGGTTTGAACTGCAGCAGATTGTCTTGGCAATGTCTACATGCATTGAGTTGCTGCCATGTGATTGGCTGATTCCACTTTTGTGTTAATGAGCAGTTGGACAGGTGGACATAATAAAGTGGCCTGTGAGAGTAGATTTTAATAGTCTCATGTTCAGAGGCACATGCAGCTGCTAAGAGATAGWCTTGTAGCTGAAACATGGATGTCTAAAAACTTTTTTCTGGTTCCCTTTAAACAAACTGAAATGCTGATGAAAAGCTTCAGGTACGTGTGCTACTAAGGCCAAACAGTTAGTTTGAAACACGACTAAATTTTTAAAAATGAACAAGAGGACCAAAAAAAATGTCCAAACTGTTTTAGCATATCCTTGTAAAATAATCAACAAATCATTTATTTTTATATTATTCACAAAATAAAAGCATGCAAACATAATCTGTGTGACCAGTTAGGATACTAACAAATGTATCTGCATACATGAACAACAAAAGGTTATAAATCAATATTGATAATGGTACTGTACATCCCTGTGTGTACTTACTGGTTCTTATGCCTGGCACCACTGATGTGAGACTGGTACTGCTCCACAGAGTTCAACACAATGTTGCAGATGGTGCATGAGTACCCATTTTGTGAGGAAACTACAGAAGCAAAAGAAGGTAAGGAATTAGTTGTTAGGCTGATCTCAAAAATCTCAAAATACGTCCACAAAGTATGTATTAGATGTGACGGTCGACCAGAGTGCTTTGATAGAGCTGTTGATAGAGGAAATTATGTTGTAAATAAAACTAAACTGCATCTAGATTTTTCTTTACACAGACCCAATTTTGGCCCATTTATTTGTTTAATGAAGAGTCTTCAAGCATGTTTGTTTCTACAGAAATCTGTCTTAACGAAGCAGATAAACTCAGATAAATAAAGCTAGGTTTATAGTTGACGTGTCGCACTGGATGCGCACCAATAGTGACGCAGTCGTGCCTTCCCCGCCCCTGCGCGTTGGTCCACGTGGTATTCAAGCGCATGGTTGTGCACCGCTGTTTGTAACTCCCAGCACTGAATAGGGCTTTACTTTTCAAGGTACACTTTTTGTTGTGATACAAATCATAGAAACATTAAAACAGCCTCATCCTAAAGCCCACTTCACACTCCCTCTGAACTGCTGAAGTCGGCACCAGTTGTGGTAGTTTCATGATGAAAATTACATCACTGGTGTTCTCAGCGTCGACTTGGACGACTCTTTTGGCATGTCGGTAACGTGTGATTGGTCTGAAGTTTGTGGGCGTGTTTGTGCTGAAAGCACTCGGACGCTGCATTCTGCTTCAACCACTCGATTAAAAAAATAGAAAATTACTCACTTCCAGAGCCGACTGTTGTACCAGGAAGCAGACATTTATAAATAGTTTAACCGGGACAGATTTGTGGATAAATAATGTTGGATGAAGGTTTTTTTTTTTTTTTGGGGGGGGGGTTAAGGTATTGTAGACATAGGGATGGGTACCTTTGAAGTTTGAATCTATTCAGTGCCAATATCCGGTACCAATTTTCGGTACTTTTTGTGTGTTGTTTTTTCAATAATAAACTTTTATTTTTTTATTTAACATATTTCTCAATAAATAAAATTTAACAAATATCAAGACAACATCGAACTCTTTGTATTGAAACATCAGTTGTGTAACTTATTTCTTCAAGGTGAAAACTGTTGAAAACAACAAGACTGTTTTGTCTTATTACACAAATTAAAATCCAGCTCCACGTGTTTCTATTGATGTCATTTCTCCACTAGAAACATGTGTGATGGAGGTCCATGGAAGGTAAATAAGTTTAAATCAAATAAGCAAAAGAAGATGGAGTTAAAATAAATAAAAGGTATTCAAGCTACGTTTTGAGCATCTAAAACGCTCCAACACTTCAAGTTAGCTGCTTCAGGTCAGACGTGTTCAGACTGTCAGGAAGCTCCTCTGTTGGTTTCCTCTGTCGGTCWCTGTTTAATGGTGGATGAAATAAAGAAAGTGGCGATACTTTATTTACTTTGAGCAGGCGAACGTTGTGCTGAACAGATAATTAATCCAGCAGATAATTCAGAGGCGGTCTGTTCGGTGAGTTTTACTCCAGGAGCTGCGAGGCTTTCATGCTACGTTCAAACTGAGCTCTGTTTACTGAACTTGCTGACATCATTACACTTTTGCATGATGCTGCGTTCAGGACAAGCATGGAAAACTCACAACTCTTACGCCAAACCGGTCACAATGTGTTTAGGTACTGAAACATGGTACAGTTTGATGTTACGWKAATAGATACTCGGTAGTACTGACAKAATTCGGTCTTTACATCAAAAAGTATTGAATTCGGTATCCATCCTTATGTAGACTCCTGTGGGAAGAAACCCCATGTATGCTGCAGTGGGAGGGGTTTCTCAGGAGCTCAGCGCGGTGTGTCTCGGAGGCTATGGAAGGTGTGTAAAAACAAACGCTGAACAACCACGTGACCACGCGCCGACTGTTTGGCTTTGGAACGAGTATGTTCCAGGCCTAACTGTTCATCACCCAGCTCTATTCAGTGACTCTGAAGATAATTCAAGACAAAAGCTTGGAATTGGTCGAACCTGCTGCGGTGGAGGGTCCGTACGTCTCAATCAGTTTAAGCCGGGTCATTAGTTTTTTATGCTTCTTGCCCTCGTAGTGCTGCTTGGCCATAATAGGGTTGTTGAAGGAGGCCTTGCAGGTGGAGCAGAAGCGGTCTGGCTCGCTGTTGTCCACTGGAGTACCACTGCTGGAGGTGTCTGCAGGTTTCTCCTTAGGCTTTGCTGTTTGACCTGCTTCGACTAACAAAAGAGATGTTTTTTTTCACAATTCATTAAAAATAAACACACATGTACACAAAGATTATCAGAAAGAACGCACAAACCTGGGGGTTGATTTTCCGCTGTTTTCATTTTGAGCCTCTTGGCATGAAATTTGCCCTGATAATGAGACTCGGCCATCACTGGAGATGTGAAGGTCATGTTGCATAGATGACACGCCTTCAACCGGTCAGTGACTCCATTGTCACAACCCTGGTGACAAAACGATTAGCTTTTTAGTGACAAATTTTACAAGAMAAACAGCATTWTCAGTGTGCATTGCATTCGTTTCCCATCCAAGTCATCTCCACTTTGCCATGCTTCTCCTCCTGCATACTTTGTCCTASAGCTGCCATTGTAATTTATATCTGTAAAGCTCCTGTGCCAAATGATGGCTATGCCTTTTGGTGCCTGTACAACTTAGTTGTTGAAATATTAATATTTAATAAATTATAATGGGAGTCAATGGACCTTGTATTGGTCCAATACTGYCCCCTGCTGTATCTACTCARTATGGAACTGCACCATAGTTTAATAATTATATTTAATCTCAATTATTGCAGTGATTACAATGTATATATAATTTGATGCATTACTATATTATTGTCTTATAAGCACAAACATCTTATATAATATTGCTCAACTGTTGTAATAATATGCAGTTCTTTGTCAACGATCGTCATTGGCAATGTTGCCTCTTTCTACACACATAGAAAAAAACACTGGGATTGTATTTTCTCCCAGCACCAATGGTCTTGTGGTTAATGCTATAGCCTTTCATGTGGGAGATCAGGGTTCAACTCCCAGCTACAGTAACTTTAACAAAAAGATTATTCAGACTTCATATTTTCACACAATTACCCTCATTACAAACACCTGCTGACAGCCACAAGCTGGTACTTGATTAGAAAACACATTTGAACTTGGTCAGTTCATTCTGCAAGTCCATTGCTGCAGGCAATGACATGCTACAATGCAATGCACACTTGTTTTTACATTGTAAAAACCCATGTCTAGTTATTTCTGCATTTATTGCTTGCATTTTTCAAAACCCATAAGAAGAATCTATTGAAATGGTCATGATTTTTATATGTACAATGCCAATAAGTAAGCTTTGAATCAGATTAAAATTAGGTTTTTCTGAACCATGCAGCTGCATTAAAAGCTTTTGGGCCTTCCTTTTGTGACCTAGTTTTCAAAGACCTTTAACAAAAACGCCTCAATGCAGCAGAAACTAACGTGTAAAAGGAAAACCTGTAAAAAAAGATATTTAAGTATGATATTAGGTACATTTTTTGCTCAAACATGTTTTTAGCAATAAATAAAAAACTATAAAAAATAAAGTGTTTAAAAAGCACGACAACAGAAATTTGTAATCGATATTTTTAAGCTGAAATATGCTAAATTAGTGGTGTTTTCCTGGATGACCAAAACATTGTGCTTTGAGTCAGGTATCATGAGATTATTTTATCATAATATATATTTTATCCTGTATACAGGGTTTCCACAGCTTAAAGGGGCTATATCATGTAAAATCAACTTATTTGAGTTTATGTTGCGCGTGCGCTATGATGCAGTTTACTTGGTATTTAAAAATACACAGGGGTAGACAAGGATTTTTTTTTAGGCTATTGACAAAATCTGGTTGTCTGCAAAACATTTTGGTTGTCCAAAAAAAAAAATCTGTTAAAATGTAATTTAATAATTAGGCTATATTGTTCTGTATACAAAGTTTACTGTATACAAATGTTCTCAGTCAGCAGGTTAACAGTTTCAGGAGCTGCTTGAGTAAAAATCCTCATCCTCTTCTTTGAAACAGAGCAAAAACCAACATCCAACAATCATAAGCTTTCTGCTTACAGGACCAACATTTTAATTTTAATTTTTTGTTGTGCTCGTAAACACACGGTGTTACAGGAGAAATGCTGCGAGGTGTTTTTAGAAATATAATATATATAAAATACGACGTAATCCTCGGAGGAAAATAGCTCAGGTGAACACCTCCCAGGAAAACCCTCAGCGTTTCCTGGACTGAGTGAAGCTGACCCCCCCACCCACAGAGAAAGAAAAAAGGCAGCGCTGTCAGTCAGACAGCAGGACCTGCCCTGCTCTGTTCTGATTGGGTAAAACTTTGACTGAGGTTCTCTTTATTGGGTGAAAGAACCATCATGGATGGCTTTAACAAGTTTTTATTCTCCCATTCATTTTTACAATGACGAACACCCGCTGCTTTTTTCTTGGTTGTCCACCGRACAACTTGGAGGCRGGATCTCCGAAACGATAATACTGTAGGTTGTCTCGGACAACCTAAACAATGGTTATGTCGACCCCTGAATACATTTCCTCAAAGGTATTTTTAATCTGAAAAGAGCTTCACTGAGTGAGAACTAATATTGAGAGCTCAGCAGACAGTTAAGTTTCACTTTCACTTTCACCGAGAGCCTGCAGGAGTCATGGGCGGGGTGTGTGGGGAGGGGGTGGGGG